TGATGACTTCATAGCCGGATGGAGTGGATACTCTAAACTAGCTTGGCTCTCTTTGTAGAACCCATGATGGGCTTCATTCTTAAATGGAGGGTGCATCTGATGACATTAGTAGCATATTTTTTTTTTTTAGTGGAATTGACATAGTAATTCAATTGGATTTTACAAATGATGAAAATGATACCTTAGCACCTAGGTTTTAGATAGTTTTATTCTTATTTCCTAAAACCTGAACCCTCAGGGGTCAATAGGAAATTTTCTGTTTGGTGTTTTTTTGTTTGTTTGTTTTAGTATGTGCATGGTGTGCATGTTTACTTATGACCAAGAACTCTTTCTGAAGCTTGAGTTCTTTTACGTTTTTAATAAAGTGGATTTTTCAACTATCTAACTTCCTTAATTTACACACCCTTGAACCTTTGCTTTTATCTCCCAGGTAACAAATTACCATCTTGCTCCCCCTAGTGGAATTTTGACTCTACTTCAAAGTTTGAGAATAACTATCCTTAGTGCATATTTGATTTAGCATTTTATTTTTGGAAGTCTGGTATTTTCCCAGTTTGTTTTCAGGGTGATAATAAAAACAGAATATTTTATTGGATGTGCCAATAGGGGATGTGGGTAGAGAAAGTGGCTTTTGACTGATTAGGTTTCAGTTCCAAGGGTTAGCAAGGTCAGCTACAAAATTTATAAGATCAAGGGGCCTTTCTGTTCCACATTTCTATCTTAGAGGGGTCAAGTGTCATCAGCTTGGCAGATATTCACCTCTAGAAGGCGGCTGATAACACTCCTGGAAAGGTGGTAAAGGGCTAGTTGTTGGTGATTTTTAAGGCAAGGACAGGTCCCATCTGAACAACAAATCCCACTTGTGCCTTTGGTAAATTTGGCCCAGGAAGTGTCCTTCTGTCTTCTGAATCTACCAGAGGGACTGCACCAATATATGCAGCACTGACAATCATTTTGCAGCTGCTAAGCATGCTAACAAAATTCTAGCAATTGAAGCTGAAAAGACTGCATACCTCTCTTAAGAATTTAAACTTCTTTAGGGGATGATGATCAATGATTTCATGGTATCTGAATCTCCTTTTTTCCTACCGCTATTTGTTTTTCTCAATTTTGACCCTTGTTACAATTTTGTGTTTATTCAACTCTGTACCCTACTGTACACAAAGCACTTGTGTTATATATGCTAGCGCTAAAATGTGTGAAACTTTAAAAGGAAATATCTGTATCTGCCAAGGCCTGGGACTCTGCTCTTGTGCAGGTAGGACTTTGCTTCTAAGCCTTATTTAAATTAAGGCAAAAGCTGCAAAAGTTATAATGGTTGCAAAATTAATGAACAACAGAGTATGTGTCCTTGATACTTATGAGCAAGAATATTGTAATTAGAATATTCTCTGCCTTAAAAATCATGTAATAGAGATGGTATTTAGATATATCTTTTCCTCAATATTTTTCTTAAGTTAAGTGTTTACCTAGGGAAAAATAAAACAGCAGGATCGCATTAAAATTCCAACAAAAGGGAGTGCCAAAGTGTTCTCTGGGAATGTTTTTGGGAATGTGGAGAGAAAAAACAAGTAAGCAGTCATAATATTTAAAAAATAAATATTACTTACTCAAGAATCATGGTAATTTAGTTCAATAATTATATCCATACAAACCCACAGCTTCAGTTGAAGCAAAGCTCGTTATCTGTGAAATTCTAGTTTGAAATCCCGTGATGCTTAGATTCATAATTGTGAAGGCGATGTCACAGTAGCCACATGGCACAGCTGAGGCTAGAGATGTCCATATGGCAAGACTTTGGGATGTGGAGAACAGCTGCTTTTCTATTCCATGGGGAGTGGAAGGGGTTTGTATATGAATCAACACGTGTCTCTATGCATGCATGCCTGAGTATAGATAGGTATGCATATGTACCTAGGAGCATATGTATGCATATATGTGACTTCAGTATTGGAAGAGTTGTAATGATAGCTCAGCCTCTTCTTCCTAATGGTTCCTGGGGAGTCTGTGCCTTGACAGTTCTCTATAGAGTAGCTTTTAGCAGCAATAGTCCCAGAGGCACCACTCCCTGCTGAGGGACGGTGCTGGCGCCCTTCTCTGGAAGCTTTGTTGGGGTGTCTCTCTTTGGTAACATTCCAGCCATAGCTTGGAATGCTTGCCTTTCTTCAGAAGTGTGAGGACTGAGTGAATGCAACAGAATGTACGTATTCCATACACTCGCGATTGGGAGACTTTGCTCACCTCATTATGTTCCCGTAAAATGACTTAAGTAGTGGTGCATTAACTACTGGGTTGGGTTTGTTCCCTGGAATCTTAACTGCTCAGCTGTTGATTGACCACTCCTGATTTAACACGAAAGTCTTGTCAGACACTGCCTCTACTTATCGCTCTCTGGTTGTGGAGGTTTGTTGTTTGTTTTCTCGTAAGGTCCAAAAAGGCAGAAATGCACACATGAGCATTTGGCCATGAGCACAGCAGATGGAGAATTATGGAGCAGATAAACAAGAGTCAATATTTTTTTGTTGAAACCCTGAATTTGTGTCTGGCTCTGTGTCTTGTGTGAAATGTGGTCCTTGCCACGGGGCAGATGTAACCCGAACAGAGACTTGGTTAGCAGGTAGTTAGGGGGAGTGTGGAAGGATCTGCTTGTCTTTAGGCAGAGCAAGTAGCTAAGACTGAACTAGCAGTAAAGTTGTACTCTTTTCAAGATGTCTTTCCTGCTACTTAATTGTTGGCAATTTTAGAAACTATCCATGCACCTTGTCAAGAAGCAGAATTGAGAGGGTATTTTGGAGAAAGAAAAAAAGATATATGTGTTCATTTGCTGGGAATTTTTATGGCAGAGGAGAAACCCATGGACAAATTCCTGGCATATTGAAATATCCATTCTGCAATCTGACATTTTTACATAGTGTTTCCTCAAGGAATCTTACTCTGTCTTACTGATAGTACTTATATTGGTCCCCCAAACTAGCAATAAACAGCAACATAACCTGTAAGAAAGCCAACAGGAGGATAAAAAGAGAAAAGAGGGTTTATGGGGAAAATGACAACTCACATTCCCAACAGCATATCACAGGGAGAGGTCAAGGTATGTGACGCTAGTGATTTCACCTAAGACCAGTGTTTGCCACCAGTTCCTAAGAATTGATGGGTTCTTGTTAAAATCTAGATTTGCAGGTCCCCACCCTAGATGTATTAAATCCTTAGGAAAGGGATCTGGGAATATTGTTTTAATAGGCATCTCCGGTGATTCTTATGGTCAGACACGTTGGGGAAACTGCTGTCATCTAATTGACTACTAGGACTAATGTATTTCTAGAAGTTTGAGTGAAGGCGTATGTGTGTGTGCGCACACGCGTGTGTGTGTGCATAATTACCAAGGATTTTAAGGTTAAAAGAAAATTATCAACTACATCTTGTCATCGTGAAACATTTCTTAATGAACACATCTATGTAGGGTTGTCTGGTTACAGGAGATTTTCTCATGAACTACCTCATTTGATCCTAATAACAATCCCATGAGGAGGTTGGGCAGCGATCATCATGCTCACCCCCAAGTTGCAAGTAGAAATGGGCTTTGCATGTGGCTGGCAAGTGTGAGACTGGCTTTGAATAGGATTTTTTTGCCAAACGGGCAAGCCCAACATCAACTCCAAAGCCTGCCACTGTTCCTCTTTTACCTTACACTCTGGTCACTAACATATCAGGTTCTATGCACATCCACACCTTTGCACACCTGTGCTCCCTCTGTCTTCCTTCCCTGTCAGCAACTCATACTTATTCATTAAGGTGCCTTCCTTAAGCTTTTTTGGATACACACTTGTCTTCTTTACCCAGCCTCCTACCCAAGCGGAGCTAGCTCTTCTTTTGGCTGTGTTTACATCACTGTGTTTACTTCTACTGCATGTTGGGGTCTTGTTTAATGTAGATGAGTTCAATAGTAAGAGCTTGGTAACATCCCCCTCTTCTTCCTTGACCTGCCATCATGCCACTTACTTTTAATAAGCAGTAGATGTAATCATGTTTAAGATAGTACTTGTTGGCTAAAGCTATGGGAGGCATTTGGGAATGATTTCAAGGGTTTTCCAAATACTGACACAAGAGTGTTCTGGTGGCCAGAAACATGGCCATTAGCATCCTCTAGGAATGGGATTATTTGAGGATAACAAGGAACATTGTCTAAAAGAAGTAGAGGAATCACAGGGACCTGTTTTAGTTTGCTCGGGCTCCCATAACAAAATACTGTGGACTGGGTGGCTTAAACAACAGAAATTTTTGTTCTCCCAGTTCTGGAGGCTGGAAGTCCAAGATCAGGGTTAGTTTCTGGTGAGGCCTGTCTTCCTGGCTTACAAACGGCCACCTTCTCACTGTGTCTTCACATGGCCTTTCCTCCTGTGTGAGAGAGAAGAAGAGAGAGGGAGAGGCGAGAGGGGGAGGGGGAGAGAGAGAGAGAGAGAGAACGAGAATGTGAGCTCTGGTGTCTCTTCCTCTTCTTATAAGGACACCAGTCCTATCAGATCAGGGCCACACCCTTATGACCTCATTTAATCTGAATTATCTCCTTAAATGCCCTGTCTCCAAATACAGTCGCGTTGGGGATTAGGGCTTGCAACATATGAATTTTGGTGGGGATATGATTCAATTCATAACACGGATTGTATACACAAAACCACAGATTTGTTAGTTTCCTTGTCAGGGATTTAAGGGCCTATCAAAGTTTCAATGATGGGTGATGTTCATGGTACATTCACTTTAGTTCATAGTTCAGGTTAGAGACTATCTGGCCTGGCTTTCAGATGGTATAATAATTATTTCTTTATGTAAATATCTCTCCCACTGGATTTCTCGTAAGGGTTCATCTGAGTCTTATTCATCTTTGTCTGCCAACTGATAATGGTTGAATAAACTTTTAAGGAACAGATCTTCTCACCATCTGCATCTGTATGTGATCAGATGTATTAATTTTAGTTCTGATTCCCATTCTCTTGTGTTTGCAGCCACCATTGGTCCAGGCAATCTTCAGCGGTGATCCAGAGGAGATCCGGATGCTCATCCATAAAACTGAAGATGTGAATACTCTGGTAAGAGATGCTGTGGTTTTGCCACTCAGGCCCCGTTATCCTGGAGCAGGAAAGGGCTCTTAACCTTTTATATACCATGGACTCTTGGTATCTGGTGAAAGCTCCACACTGTTTCTCAGGACACTGTTCTTAAACTCTATATATGAAATAAAGTATCTGGGGTTACAATGGAAATCAGTTACTGAAATACGTTATCCAAATATTAAAAATCTAATTTGTGATATGGTAATATATGTGCTTTTAAAAAAGAACACATTTAGATTGGGCGCAGTGGTTCATGCCTATAATCCCAGAATTTTGGGAGGCTGAGATGGGCGGATCACTTGAGCCCAGGAGTTTGAGACCAGCCTGGGAACATGGTGAAACCCTGTCTCTACAAAAAAAAAAAAAAAAAAAAAGAAGAAGAAAGAAAAATTAGCTGGGCATAGTGATGTATACCTGTAATCCCAGCTACACAGGAGGCACACATGGGAGGATTGCCTGAGCCCAGGAGTTTGAGGCTGCAGTGAACTTTGATCATGCCACTGCTCTGTAGCCTGGGTGACAGAGTAAGACCCTGTCTCAAAAAAAAAAAAAAAATCTGATTAAATAACCAGATACAGCAGAAGATCTAAGAATGAGCATAATTTAAAAATAGTGATGAGCATAATCAGTATTTTGAGTTGTCTGCAACAACTCTAATGCAATATGAACATACCTGTGATTTCTGCTGGTGACAGCATTACAGCTACTGATGTTGCTACTGTGCTTTATGGCCTATATTCATAGTGGAAGGAAGTGCTAAATTCCAATTAGAAGTCAGTGATAATAGAGATGCAATTTTTTTTTTTCCCAAGGTGATGAACCCCTAGAAACCATGCCCTGCAACAGTGGTTGGCAACCTATGGTACATCATACATTTTTTTCTGCAGGCCTCCTGCTAAGAATGGTTTTTGTTTTTTAAGTGTTGAGAAAAAAATCAAGAGAAGAATAATATTTTGTGACACATGAAAATGACATGAAATTCAAATTTGATGTTCATAAATACAGTTTTGTTGGAACACAGCCATACTCATTCATTTATGTATTATCTCTGGCTACTTTTGCACTGCAACAGCAGAATTGGGTAGTTGTAAAACAGACTATATGTGGCTCACAAAGCCAAAGATATTTACTATCTGGCTTTTTAGGGAAAGTTTGCTGACCCTTGCCCTTAAAAGGTTCATGACTCTGAGTCTGGGATCAGTGCGTGAACTAGGCATCGTGTGTGCCCTCTGAACTCACAGGAGGTAGATATGTGCAGTATACACATATTTTGTGTGAAATGGATCAAACTATTTCATCAAGTTCTTAAAAAGGTACCTGACTCCCAAAAGATTAAGAACCACTGTATCTGAAAGGTCCTGACACAAACAAACCAACCTTCAATAAAGAAAGCTAAAAAGAGTTAGTCAATGATTTACCCTTTTAGTAGTTTCCTAGACTTGAGTTGAACAAGCAGTTATGTACAGTACATACTACTAATTCTCTTAATGTAATTCAATTGTGAAATACTGAAATCCACCAGGGAGAGGAGTTCTCTTAGTCTCTAGTGTTAAGTAGAAATAGAAGTAGTCAACTACATCTTCAGTGTAAGAGGAGATTTGCCACGGGGAGGTAGATTATGTCTAAGGTATCTCTGTCTGGTTGGCTGAATGCTTTATTCAGAAGGCGAGTCATTTGGTGCAGCCATTGTTCTATGGCAGTGCAGGTTGGTGTGGCTTTTGCAAAAGCTTTTGGCAGCGTCTTCCCAGCTGGCACTGAGCACAACAGGACTATGGTTTGTGACATTTTTGCAAGGTAAGCACAGATGAGGCCAGGGACAAACTACTCGAGAAGGCAGTTGGGCATTTGTCCAGGGCCTGCGGGTTGTGACCTGTACTTCTGAGACGAGGCCAGGCAAGCAAGCTCCCTTTCCAGTGTTCTGACATCACCGGAATCCACCCAGCCTGTTTTGTGGCTGTGGCCCAAGCCCAGAAGCCCAAGGCATGGTTATTGTCTTTTCCTAATGATCATGAGCAGATGGAACTTTTGTTCTGTCATACCTGAAAAGATTGTGCTGGCCCCTGAATGGCCTTTATTTCTTTTTGGGAAAGTGACAAACAGTTGCTGGCTGGTGAAGGTTAGGGGAGCTTAACTTCAGCTATAATTTATCACTGAATTAGATAGGTTAACTACGGTCACACATAGACCCCTAAATGTATGATGGATGTATGATGTATGAAGTTTAGTTCTCTTTATGAACATATTAGAGGGGTGGTCCTTTTCCAAACAGGATCCCAGGTAGCAACACGTGATCTTTAAGATCACCAAAGGGGTTGTGTGCAGTCCTGCCCCCCAAAGGGAAAAAAAGCATGGAGGAAAAGCATGGAAGTATTTTTTTTTTTTTTAGACGGAGTCTCACTCAGCCACCCAGGCTGGAGTGCAGTGGTGTGATCTCGGCTCACTGCAACCACCATCTCCCAGGTTCAAGTGATTCTCCTGTCTCAGCCTCCCGAGTAGTTGGGATTACAAGCACCCACCATCATGCCCGGCTAATTTTTGTATTTTAGTAGAGACAGGGTTTCACCATGTTGGCCAGGCTGGTCTTGAACTCCTCACCTCAGGTGATCTGCCTGCCTCGGCCTCCCAAAGTGCTGGTATTACAGGTGTGAGCCACTGCACCTGGCCAGCATGGAAGGATTTTTACGGGTCAGCTTGGAATTGGCACACATCACTTCTGCTTATATTCCATGGACCAGAATTTAGCCACGGCCATACCTAGCTATAAGGGAGGGTGAAGAATTTGTGTATCTGTGTGCCCCCAAAGAGTCAGAGAGCATGGATTTTACTGAGTAGTTAGCAATCTTGGCCACACCAGTTTTTGGTCTCAGAGAATTCTAGGGAATTCTAGTGACGCCACTTACTTGTCTGGGAGATGTCTTATTCATCCACAGTTATTTGCTGAGTTGAGACTGTGTGCTCAGTGCTAGGGACACAGCAGTGAGAAGACACCCTTTCCATGATAGAGCTTACAACATAGCAGAGTAGTCAACAAATGAGAAATCACACTGTGACGCATTTTCCAAAAAAAATCTGGGATGCTACGTAGGGAGAAGGTTAATCATGAGGACCTGATAAAGTGATATGTAACTCGAGGCTTGAGAGATACATAGGAATTTGCTTTGCCTTTTTGGGCTGTTGGGTATGTGGCAGCAGAGAAGCAGGGGATGCAGGGAGGGAGAGAAATGAACACAAGAGTGGCTGAATGAATGAATGGATGGATGGATGGATGAAGAACACAAAGAAGGCCTGAGTTCCTTAGGTTGATGTTATCACTTTTCGGGGTCCACGGGCCCTTTTGTTCCGCTCATCCCTCTTTAGACTCTCCCTTTAGCTCCCCCTTTCCCCTCCTTCAGGTGTGTACAGAGATCATTTGACCCCACACTCTTATCCAGCATGTCCTCTTGTCGTGTTTTTCTTTTGTCAGTGCCTTTGCAGATGAGTCATAGTGACTGTTTTTGCTGGGGGTGGATTAGGTAGTTTAGGAGAATTGGTTGTTAAGAATGGGCATAGACAGATGGAGGACACATAAGGATTGGAGAGCTAAGCCTGGAGGTGCATTTCAAAAGTGAAAAGGGGCTGATAACCATGCATTTAAATGTCAAGGAAGGAAAATAAATAGTGCAGGAGCCACCTGTTACTTAGAAGACCATATTTGTCTTCTTACCCCTTGCTTTTCTTTCTTTCCTCCATTTATTCACTTAATTATTCTTTTCTGTCCCAGGTTCTGAGTTTTTCACCTTCCCCTGCCCTCATCTCTCCATGTTTTTTGATGGATCACATGTTCTCTGGTGTAAATCACCCATTCATTAGCTGATCCTGATATAGAAAGCCATCTCATTCAGCTTGGCCTCTGTGTTTTCAGAATTTATTTTCCCAAATAGTATTTATAAACCCTATGCCCCAACTAACCACATGACTTGATTCATTGGGATTTATTCTATTCTCTCACACTTTTCTCACTTCTCCACTCTTCCAATTCTATTTGTCCTTCCATACCTACTACTTCCTCCATTAAGTTGTCCCACTTCTCACTTCCTTTCTGCTGTCTTCTCTACCACCTTCTCAACCCAGCCAAAGAAACCTACTTCTACCCTCAACTCCAACAGCATTTTGTCCTGCGTTAATCACTGTTGACTACTGCTTGAAACTGTAGCTGACCCTTGAACAACACAGCTTTGAACTTGGCAGGTCACTTATATGCAGATTTTTTTTCCAACCAAAGGCAGATTGAAAAGACAACATTCGTGGGATCTGAAACCTGCATACAGGGAGGGCTGACTTTTCATATATTTGGGATCTGCAGGCCAAACCCAGTGACTTGAATATGTGCAGATTGTAGTGTATGTGGGGGTCCTGGAAACAATCTCCTACATATACTGAAGGAAAACTGTATATGCTTGATGACATGGTCACTATCTTCTTCACTCTCATTTGCTCAATCGCCTAGTCCAGTCCTTGCAGCACATTTGACTGAATGACTCAGCTCTACTTTATTGCTTATGCTGAGCCAGTTTGTGGTAGCTTATAGTTCATTTCTCCCAATGAGGATAAATTGTTAAATAGAGGAAGCATCTAGTTTAGTTCCTTTCCCTCATTTGTAAGACTGGAAATTCTCCTTGTAAGATTGAAAATCTGTAGATTGATTTGAGGAGCCACAGAAGGGTCAGGAGGGGCACACTGAGTCTTTTTATGGTATCTATGGTTAGTGGCATACAAGGGCCTGGAAATATGGGATAATCATTGTACACTCTGAGAAATATCTTTAAATCGACCCAGATTTGGCAGAGAGCTAGAAAGGTTTTAGAAGCCTCCGCCTGACTAATCAAACTGAGCTCAAGATGGAGAATAGCATCTGATTTCAAAATTTGGAAGGCAGAGATTTTATAAACCAAAATTTGAATTCACTAAAGGCATTTTGAGGATTATGTTATGACAAT